AATTCCTTTTCTAATTGTTGCAAATCCACTGTGCCAGATTCAATCAGGAACATGCAATGCTTATTTGGAAATTTCCCTTGCCCTTACTCAAAATAATCTCCTTCTCATACTCTTCCAAGCTGTCTATTTATTCCTGGGTAACTAGATAGTCCTCCACAGTAGAAAGATTTCTGTGATCAATTTCATAAGTTTGTCATCATTCACTAATTTTGTGGACAACAATTCCTCTTAATATCCTTCATGGCCTTTCTTCCTCTTTCTTTTACTTAAATGCTGATATCCTTCAGTGTTCTATCTTTAGTCCTTAATTTCATTTGGTCTGTATACTCACAGTAATCTTCTACTCCTTTTGCTTCATCCTTTATAACAACACTTTATCACCAACACTACCCCTGCCCTAAGTCTGTATTCCCAGCATGACCTATCTCCTGAATTAGTTTTTCCAACTGATACAAGACTGCTATAGAAGAGCCTACAGAGTTTTGAAAGTCAATAGAACCCCTTCTTCCACCAAACTTTGCCTCCTATGTTCTTTTTTTAATAATTTATATTATCATGCACTCAAATATCCAAAACAGGAACCTCAGAATCTCTCTTACACTTTACAGAGCCTGTTTAAAAATCTGTTACCTCCTCTCTTTCCCCATTGCCCTAACATAGGCTTGATTCTATTTTATTAAAGTATCTGGTCTCCTTGCCTCTAGTCTGTCTGTTCTCTGGTCCATCCTCACTCTTCTGCTCCCTTTAAAACATTATCCCACTTATTAGCTATTAATGGCTTCCCACTGCTTATTATTTAAGCTCCATAGTCTATTATGCCTAATCTTCACAACCAGGCTACAACCTACCTTTCTGGTCTCCATTTTCCCTATGCACTTCCTACACTCAAGCCACACTAGTCCATTCATTATTTATTAACATGTTTCATGTGTTCCTCAGTCAGGGTCCAGCCAGAAAACTGAAACCATGCAGGCATTTCAACAGAGAGAATTTAATATATGGAGTGGTTAAGCAGATGTTTGAGAATTTAAAAATGAAAGAAGGGCACTGAATTAACTCAGAGACAGTAACTGTGTAAGCAACTGTCACTATGGAAGACAGAGCTAACAGAAACTAAAAGCTTGAAGAAGAGCCCCCACAGAGCTGGGACCTGCACCTCTGGTGGCTGCTCACTCACTGCCGTCGAGTCAGATCCAACTTACAGCAACCCCTCCTTGGGTTTCCCAGGCAGTATCACTACAGATGTAGATTGCCCAGCCTTCCTTCTGAGGAGGGGCTGGTGGGTTTGAACCATCAGCCTTCTGGATAGCAGCCAAATGCCTTAGGCACTACGCCACCAGAGCTCCTCCAAAATGCTGAGCTGGAAGCCAATGGAGCTGGACCTCAAACCTCTATGGAGATGCTGCTGCCCAAATGGTGCAGGTACCTTTAAAGTTGCAATGGAGCTGGTTCTCCTGAGCAGGGTACCAAATGATGCTGTTGGGATGAAGGGCTGTTGCTGGGATAAGGAAGAGCTACCAAACATGAAAAAGGAAATTTCTTCTTTCCTTCTCCTGTCTTCCCTTCTCCCTGTAGTGCCCCCTGTTGGTGGATCCATTTGCTAGGTTCCAGTCTCAATATCCCAAGGGTGGACTCAGGAATTAATAGACAGTTGCTTAACAATAAGCAGAATGCAGTTTCTCATTCTCTTGATTTTGCCCATAGTCTTCTCATCCATAATGCTATTTCTACCAGTACCTGCCAGTGTTTACCCTTTTGTCCAAATATAACCTCCTCCCCATAATCTTCTCTAATCATCCCGTTGTTGTTGTTATGTGCCGTCAAGTCAGACCCGACTCATAGAGACCCCTCCTTGGGTTTACAAGGCAGTATCACTACGGAAGTAGATTGCCCCATCTTCCTTCCCAGGAGTGGCTGGTGGGTTTGAACCACCAGCCTTCTGGTGAGCAATCAAGTGCCTTAGGCACTACACTACCAGAGCTCCTAATCCCAGGAATAAGTATTTACACCATCATCTGAGTTCCCCTAGCAGTTTACAAACATTTTCTTCATAGTCTTTTTATATCGTGTCATAATTATTTCTGTGTTTGTTTGTTTACTTTCCACCAAAGTGTGAGCTCCTTTAAAGCAGGTAGAGTTACAATCATAAAATCTTGCAGAGTGCCTTGGTCACAACACATGTTGGTTGGACTAGATGGAAGTCATCAGATCATTTAATGGAATCAATATTGGATCATTTCTAGTATATATTTTATCTTCCCAACTAGATTTGAACTCCATGAGAGCAGAGATCATGTTTTACCTTCTTTTGTTTTCCTCGTGCTATTTATGAATCAGAATCGACTGGACGGCAAGAGTTTTTCTTGGTTTTTGGTTTAGTACTAGGCTTCATATGCTAAAGAAGAGTTCAATGAAATTTGTTAACCACCTAGTTTATTCACTAACCACCACAATTTTGGCTCAAAATGACATGAAGATGGAGCATGAGTTTAAGCATATCAGGTAAGATCTGTAGTTAGGTTTAGATGTGCTTCTAGCACATGATTTCAACAGTTAGAGACAACGGTGCATATGGTGTGTGTTATGGTATTTGTTAAAGGGATACCACAATCAAGAGATTCGATGTAATGTGTTCTATGTTGTTGTTGTTGTTATGTGCCCTCGAGTCTATAGTGGAGTGTAAAGAATTGAAATATATTCTAGGTTTCATTTTTTTTTCTTACAGAAAATATATTTCTTCAACCCATCAGATTATTAATCCTGGGCTACATCTGTTCCTTGTATATATACTGACTTTCTTACAATCATCAAAATCAATGCATAGATGATTTAAATATAGAAACAGTATAAAATGTTAACTTAATCACCAGCCTCTTGGAAAAAAGAACCCCCTCTTTAACAACTGATTTACATTCAGGTCCAAGAAGAAGAAAAATTGCCTTTTTTTTTTTTTTTTCTTTAAAGAGGCGTGATATTTAATTAACTATTGATTTCTCCTCAATTATTCAAGGCAAGCAATTATCAATATTGATGGAACAGATATTTCCCTACTTCTAGTGCCCAAATGCAAGGAAATATCCCATTCAGCAATCTGTGCCTGGGACAAGAAATGCTGAGAATCTTTAACTTTAAATGGAAGCAGTTATTTGAATCTGTTTATCCCATGTTGCCCCAATTAAGTAGATATTTCCTGAAGTGTAAGAAAAACAAAATATTCAAAACCTACGCATGCTTTCCAAAGTAACAACAATAAAAAAGGGGGCTTTTATCAGTTCTGATCACGAGGCTCACCACTCTACACTTGGGGACTTTCCTTCACAACTCCAGATTTGGCATTTTAAATCATAACTCGTAAAATACTATTATTTGGGTCTAATATTCATAATTGCTAAGCCACCCAATGAAAGGTAGCTTATATAATCCTTAGAACCCCTTGTATATTAATATTTTGAGCCTGACGGATTTAATAGACCTTACTATTCCCTTCTGACGTTTACAGATAGTATATGTAGCTACATTTGAAAATTATACCAATATGTTAACACAACTGTGCTGGAAGTCAGTGAGGAATTGTTGAGGAAAGTGGTGAAGTAGGACATGTGTAGGACACTGTTACTTACTTTGTGGGTATCAACCACCACCATCTTGCCTCAGCTCATTTGTGCTTAGAACATTAGCACGCTTGTGTGTAAGAAGCTTTTTTGAAGGTGACTTGACTTGTGAACATGATTAATGGACTGGGCCAGATTGTCTCTTCAATTACTTGGATGGTGAGAGTGCTTTTTAAAAATACTTTGCACTTAATAATAATGTATGTGTGAGAGTGTGTGTGTGTGTGTGTGTTTAATTCATGTGGAAATTTGACTCCTGAGTGGATTTGGCCATGCCATGTTTAAAAAATGGAAAATGTTGTACTTTTTACAAAATTACTTTTTCTACCCTGCCCCCAATCCCCTTCTACAGTGATTCTATATGTTAAATGCTTAAGCAGCATATGTTGCTATGAAGTGTTCTTGGCTCTTTTACTCTCTGTTGTTGTTTTAATTTCCCTGGGATCTATTTAACATTCTCCTAAATCAGTGAAACCTTGATTATCTCAAAGAATAGGAGACATAGAATTAATGAGGATAACCAGAATTTTGAAAAGATAAGGAAGTATTAAAAGGAAAAAGTTACATGACAAGGACCATGAATTAATTTTAGTCTCTGGAATTGCTTGCCTTGGTTTAGTCAAAGTGATTTTCATTAATTGATGGATACAATGAAATTTTGGTAATCAAGGTTTTACCAGCTGTATTTCTATTTCTGGAAACCAAATTAACCTTGGACTCTGATTTCCCATATTTACAAGATGATAAAAATCCTCTTAAAGTGACTGCTCTTCCTCATGCTCCCAGGATGGAACAAGCTTCCTCTCTTCCAGTTCGGCTGCTGCCTGCCTGGAGCATGCTGCCTTCGCCATGTCCTGACGCCTTCATCCCTGCGTTTCCCCGCTGGCTATAGCCCTCATGCATGCCACAGCTGGGATCACTGGGCAGGGAGAATGGCCCACCCTTTAAAGGTTCCTGGGCATTTTAGCAACACTGCTTTGCATTTTAATCACCATTCATTTGGCTTCAAATCTCTGCATTCTTGTATCAGGCACTTGCCCTTTAAAAACCAGGAGGTTACAAAAGGTCCCAGTTCCATGAAGAGAAGATAGTGCCAAACCAGGAGTATCACATTACTTTGTGTTCAATGGCCTGAAATGGACAATGATAATATCCAAGATTGCATCGAAAAAATCTATATAAAAGGGGGTAATATGATTTAAAAAAAAAAAAAAAAAAAACTTATTTGTTTGAAAATTGGAGTCACGTGCTTAGTTTGTGGTGGGGAGGCGGGGCGGGAGATCGATAGATTTTTTTAAAACCTGAAAACATGATGCACCAGATGAACTTAAATTGATTCTGCTTCTCCTCCCTGCACCCCCACTCCCTGCCCTCCCCCTCGTTCTGCAGCAAATGTCTGCGACAATGAGCTCCTGCACTGCCAGAACGGAGGGACGTGCCACAACAACGTACGCTGCCAGTGCCCGGAAGCGTACACCGGCATCCTCTGTGAGAAGCTACGGTGCGAGGAGGCGGGCAGCTGTGGCGCGGGCTCCGGCCAGAGCGCGCCCCGGCAGACCTCCCTAGCGCTGCTGCTGGCCGCTCTGCTGGGAACCAGTCCCCTGGCCTTCTAGGCGTCGCATCCCGCCAGCGGACGGGCCTGTGCTATGAGGAAGCAAACACAACCCAAGCTTTTGCTACTAACATAGGAAACACACACCCAGACACCCCCACTCCAACACAGTGTACGAACTATGAAGGCCTAACTGAACTAAGCCATATCTGTCAAACGTGGACAGCACATCCGAGTCAAGACTGTTACTTTCTGACTCCAGAGGAGTTGGCAGCTGTTGATATTATCACTACAAATCACATTGCCAGCTGCAGAGCTTATTGTGGATTGGAAAGGCTGTGACAGCCCCCACCCCAAACAGGAAAGACAAAAAACAAACAAATCAACCAATTGAGAAACATTTGCTACTCTAATGTGGTGCACCCTCTACCACTCTGCCCAGTGTGTGGACCAACCAAATAGAAGCATTCTTTGCTGTCAGTGCATTGTGGGTATAAGGAAATCTGTTACAAGCTGCCATATTGGCCTGCTTCAGTCCCTGAATCCCTTCCAACCTGTGCTTTAGTGAACGTTGCTCTATAACCCTTGTTGGTTCAAAGAGTTCTTTGTCTGATGTTAGTGATGCACATGTGTAACAGCCCCCTCCAAAAAGCTCAAGCCAGTCATACCCCTGTATATCTTAGCAGCACTGCGACACCCCAGTGCGAGCACACACCTACTGTACGAGAGTGGCTATAGAGAAAAAGAAAGTGTATCTATCCTTTTGTATTCAAATGAAGTTATTTTTCTTGAAATACTGTAATACGTAGATTTTTTGTATTATTGCCAATTTGTGTTACCAGACAATCTGTTAATGTATCTAATTCCAGTCAGCAAAGACTGACATTTTATTTTGTCCTCTTTGGTTCTGTTTCCGTTTCATTGTGCAGAGATTTCTCTGTATGGACAACGTGCTGGCATCAAAGAATATCAGTTTACATATATAACAAGTGTAATAAGATTCCACCAAAGGACATTCTAAATGTTTTCTTGTTGCTTTAACACTGGAAGATTTAAAGAATAAAAATTCCCGCATTAATGATTTCAGGAATTTGTATTGCAATTTCTTAAGATGAAAGGAGCAGCCACCAAGCAGTTTCACACTCACTTTACTGATTTCTATGTGGACTGAATACATTCAGCTGATGAATTTAGTATCCAGGAAGATGGATTGATGTTCACTAGCTTGGACAACTTCTGCAAAATATAAGACTATTTCCACTTGGGAAAAATTATAACAGCAAAAAAAAAAAAAAAAAAAGATTAAGTGATTGCCAAGATTATGCCAAAGCCTGTTGGTAGAGTACTAAGAGACTTTTATTTTTAAGTCATGCTATTTTCACAGATTGATGGTGATCATGTGATTCTAGAGATGCTGATCTATGTATCTTTCCAAATACAGTGTTTACATTGAGTACCATAAGAGGCAACCTGGGGAACCAGGGAAGTAGCAGGGAAACTGAGTGATTAGCAATTTGACTTTGACTATATTCAGGCTAAGTATTTAGAGGAAATATCAAAATATACAGCAGCAAATAGACATAACGGCTGTTGCTGAGAATAAAGTTTGTTTTAAGTACAGCCCAAGGTGTAATAAATTCTTGTTTCTGCCTTTTATTAGGCCAATTACTTTGTAAAACAGCAAAGGGGAGGTGGGGGATGTGGAGAACCACTGCAAAGTTTCAAAGAAGCTAAACCAGTAGTACTCCATTTCCAGCACACTATGATTCTACAGGCTACAAATGTGTTAGCAGCAGCATCTCCCCCAATAAAAATTAAAAAAAAAAAAAAAAAAATGCAATTATCAGCCCAAGCCACAGTCTTAAGGACAATGAAATCCTACATGATTTGATAGAGCAATAACCTTTGATAGCGTTAAATCAGAAGTTAGTCCAGCCTGAATTCTTCAACCAGCTGCCACTCCTTGCTGAAATTGGGAGTGGGGGTGGAGGGCAGTCGTCTGGTAAGTAACCTGGGTAAAAACTAGATGAAGGAACAGCATGTCTTATTGGTTTTGTTCCCAGAAAAGCCAATTCAAGGAAGGCAATAAAAGGTAAACAGGTAATGCCTGTGCTGCCTGCCACCCCACGTCCAAGTCAATTGAATGTTTGTTATTCAAACCAACAATCTCTTTTGATGTAAGAAATAAAAAAAGATGAAGATAAACTAGCGCTCTGGCTCAGTGCCAGAGTGGCCAACCAGAAACTGGAAATTTACATTAGAAACATAAACAGCAAATTATATTTCAGACTCACCAAAGAATACAACTGAAATGCCGACAAAATACAGAGTTTGAGATTACTTATAACGAAGTGGATTTCTGATATTAAAATTGGAATTTAAGTTGTCTTACAGTTTACTAGCACAAATCAAAAGCACACTGTGTTATTTCTGGCAACGATGCACTTTATCATTATCCGCTCATGGCTTTGTCACAATGCTCAGGAATCAGCCTTGCACATTTCAATATGTGGGATTCCAAAACCTAATTCTAAAATTTAATGAAAGCCTGATCTAAATCAATTCATCTGCATTTTATCACTATGAGGCATAAGAATCTAAATTGATGAGGAATATCTTTCATTCAGTGTATTTAGATACAGTTTTCTGAATTTCTTGAAGTGATACAATCTGCTTTTAATAAAAACTCACTTTTAGGTATATAGGCAGTCCCTTGGTTATGAATATCCAACTTACATACAACCTGTAGTTACAAACCAACCCTGTTGGTTGATTCTATTATATTAAAAGTTTGAGATACATACAATGGTTCATAACAAACTGACACTACTTGCGATGCACATCAGAACATTATAATTATTAATACTTTATCATTGTGTTAAAGGAGCTCTGGTGTCATAGTGGATAAGGCATCTGGCTGCTAACCAGAAGGTCAGCAGTTCAAACTACCAGGAGCTCCACAGAAGGGATGTGGGACAATCTGCTTCTATAAAGATTTACAGCCTTGGAAACGCAATGGGGGTCACTATGACTCAGAATCAACTCAATGGCAGTGAGTTTGGTTTGGTTTTGGTTTTATCATTATGTTAAAGATGTTTTTGTGTATCTGGAACTGTTTGTTTATATTTTTATGCATAGAAATGTACACTATATACTAAAACAAACATTTGACTGAGTTTAGCTATGAACTGTACCTAACTGTTCTGATTTACATACAAATACAATTTAAAGACATATTTAGGAATGGAACTTGTTCATAATCTGGGGATTATTGGTATAACAAATGGCAGTGAAATGTTCTTATTAATATGGATCCTCAAGTTCTTCTTAAGAATCTATTCCTTTGATGAAAACCCAAGTCAGTGGATTTTATTCATCTGCTGCTCTCCAGCATTCTTGCAAAGTGCTTCCATCAACAATACTGTGTCTTAAGAACAGGATTGAGGAAGACAGTGGATATTAAGTTGGGCTCTGTTTTTGCTTGGATAGGCCCCATAAGGTATATAATGTTTTGTGTATGAGTAAACTATCAACTTTCCTCTAGAGTAAAAAATATGATCAAAAATGAACATAAAATCTCAAAATATAGGGCAAAGTTTCATCTACATAGAAAATGTTGCTACTTATGGGAAAGTAATAAGACTACCTTGACATGATGTGGAAGTGATTCATTTCTGACCTTGTATACAGCCTAGAAGGTGTCCTGGTGGCTCAGTTAAGCACTCAGCTGCTAACCAAAAGGTTGATGGTTCAATCCACCAGCCACTCCATGCTATGGTAGAAAGATAAGGCAGTCTGTTTCTATAAACTTCATAGCCTTGGAAATCCTATGGGGCAGTTTTACTCTGTAGCTCTAGTAGTGTAGTGCCTACGGCATTTCATTGCTAATCAGAAGGCTGGTGGTTGAAACCCACCAGCCACTCCTTAGAAGGAAGATTGGGCCATCTACTTCCATAGTGATACCTCCTCGGAAACCCAAGGAGGGGTCACTATGAATCGGGTCAGGTCCAACTCAACAGCAGTGAGTTGTTTTTTTGATCGGGTCACTATGAGTAATGATGAACTCATCACAATGGGCTTGATTTTGGACATAGCCTAGAGGGTGAACTTTAGTCCCAGAAAAGAGGAGCCCTTTGCCTAAAGGAGTGCTTCTGATTCTCTGAAGCCAAGAACCTAGAATTGCCTACCTGATGTCCTCTGCCCATTTTCGGAGCATGTGTGGGCCTCTTCTAGGGGACCAGACTCCTGAAGGCAGACAGCATCATGAGTGCACACCACTAGGCCCAAGGGATGGCAACAGGTGAATGTGTGTGACTAGATTAGTGCCTGGGGCCTACAAGTGTACACTGGGAAATTACATGTAGGGAGACACCTTGCAGTGCAAGCTAGATTTCAGGGCTGGAGGAGAAGTGAGGGAGGGGAGGAAGAGACCAGCACTAGTTCAGGGTCAAGGGCCAGGTCAAACTCTAAAGAGTCTAAAAACTCTTAATATATATATAGTTTTCCAACTGTTGTGAAAGCATATGAGTCAGAGTAGCAGGATAGCATATATTTTATTTAACAGTTTGTTAGCTTGATGCACAACTTTTAAATATTAGATATAAGGTACATGAGCCTCCATTGATACTTTTTTGCTGGTCCCTGCCAACATTTGGTATGGTTCTACTTGGAGGTAAACACTACATGAAGGTGTTCTTGAGTCAGATCACTAAATGGGCATAAATCACTCACCCAGGCAACATAAAGAAAGGCACAGGATGGAAGAACCATATGATCCACAGTTAGACTGTTCCTATAGTTCAATGTTCCACCTCACACTTTCTTGGACCTCTGGCCTCACTGGAGTTTAAGCTTTGGAAGAATTGAGGAAGCTGTAAGAAAACCTTGAAATCACATCTTTAGTCCTATTGCCTTCACCCTCTACCATCAATAATCCAGTATTACCAGGATGAAAAGACCTAGTATTCTGAAATGGAATGCTCTGTGCCATTTGCAAAGTGGGCTGCTGTACTTTACCTGTTGTTAATTACTCAATGAAATCTACATTTCACAATTTTTCTGCTCATAAAGACTATAATGGATATTTGGAGACTTTGAACTGTGTGTTCTACCTATTTGTTATGCCTGGAACTCTGTATTTATGTGTTTATGATCTGGTGCAATCTAATGCTTCAACTTCAGAAATCTGACCTAGAATTCTTTACCTACCATTTCATTCCTAGTCTTTATCAATAAGGATGTCAAAGGTAGCAGTTTTAAAACTGCATCTTAGAACAATAAAAAGAACCAGGTAAACCTTTAGGTTTCTTTTTTAGAAAATCCAATTTGACAGCCTTAATGAGTTATACAACCCCTGCCATTGAGTTGATTCTAACTCATAGTGACCCGATAGGACAAAGTAGACTGTATAGGATTTCCAAAGTTGTAAATCTTTATGGAAGCAGACTGACTCATCTTTTTCCTGTGAAGCAGCAGGTGGATTTGAACCACTGACCTTTGGATTAACAGCCAAATACTTTAACTGTGCCACTAGAGCTCCATTTAATGACATATCCAAACCAAACCAAGATCACTGCCATTGAGTCGATTCCAACTCACATTAACCCCCATCGGGTTTTCAAGGTTACAAATCTTCACAGAAGCAGACTGCCCCATCTTTCTTCCACGGAGTGGCTGGTGAGTTCAAACCACCAAACTTTTGGTTAGCAGCCAAATGCTTTCACCACTATGCCACCAGAGCTCATTTTAAAGACATGTAGAGATGAAAACAGAGCGGATGACAGAGCAGAGCAGCAGCCAGAGATCCAGGTAAGAGAGGCAGCCCAGGCCCCACCCCCACCAGCCACTAAGGTGGGAGAAAGAGAAGCCAGAGGGGATGACAGAGCAGAGCAGTACCAGGGATCAGGTAAGGGGAGGGTGGAGAGGTTTTCAATAGCTAAGCGAGACAAACTTGTCTGTCAGTTTGTCATACAACTGTGGCTTGCATGTTGCCATGAGGCTTGAGGCTGTGCCATCAGTGTTTCAAGTGCCGGCAGGGTTGCACATGTTGTGCAGGTTTCAACACAGCTTACAGACTGA